ACATAGCCCTCCAAAGGGCACTTTTGGAGTGAAAATTATCAATGCCGCCATAATGAAGTGTCATTATAAACATACATGCTCAAAGCTGACCTTTGGGGTAAAGGGTTTTAAAGGATACAATGGCTATTTTGAGCCATGATGCTTTGAGCAAAGAAGGGTTCCTTTAAAGGGATTAGGGCATATGAAAGAGCCCTTCTGATTTGAATGTAGTGAATGTGTAAAATCTCAGCACTGAGGACTCACCTTTTGTGTTGTGTGGCAGGAAGGGAGTGGTGAAGAGAGCACAACATTATCCCCTACAGAGCGAAGGTTGTAGTTACAGGCAGCGGACACCGATGAAATCGAGATCCATTCTTTTGTCTCCACATCTTTACGAATATTATGAGAAGAGCAATGCATTTAAATGTCTAATTGTGTTTATATTCCGGCAATGAAATGGCCACTACACTTGAACTTACCTTTGACCTTAATGGAGTCTATTGTTGCTGAGGCCAAAGTTACAATTAATCTGTCTCTTGTGCAATGAAGTGACGGAGATGTTTTGGAAGGTTTTGCAGGGGGAGCTGGGGGAAAGATGGGCATTTGAGGGAAAACCTTCTCTTGCATGACGGAACGGGTCGGTGGATTGTATGTAGGAGGAAGAAATGAAGTCACTGGAGGGGTAGTTGGTTGCAAATCAATGGACGGCTCAAGATACAGAGGAGGCAAAACTGGGTACTGAAACATTTGTGGCATTTGCTCAACAGGTGGAGGCAGATATGGCTTTATTGAAAATTTGGGAAGAGCATCCACAGGAGGTGCAGGATAATGACGATGACGGTGATGATGATGATGATGATGATGGGGAAACATGAGATGAAAGAGACCAGGCGGTTTCTGGTACTCATAAGTACTGGGTATCTGATGAATAAAAATGAAGCGGTTTTACATGGTAAATGTTTATAAACAAGGTGAGGGCTTACAGTAGGTTTAGATTGCTCTGTAGAAGTGCTGTTGACTCATGGGATAAAAGGCACTTGTACCTGACTGGGCTGCAGTGGTTGATAGTATGGAGAATGAAGGTAGGGACCAAATCGAGACCAGTAGTGAGGAAAGGGACATGAAAGGGTGAACTGCTTTCCATCCACGATGATGACAAGATTGATCTCATTGCCCTATAAAAATAGAAGTAAAAACGTGTTAAACTGGAACACCACTCATATCTTCTCAAACAGGTTTCAAATGTGGCGCTAAATCTGTGTTCACACTTGGCCATTTAGGGTAAATTGTTTTGTTAGTGCAGTACATCTACTGTAAATTAGTGAATTCAGGCATGCAAACCATGGTGCTTGACAATTAATGGTCTCCTTCTGCTTCCAAATAAACTCTGGTTTGGTTTAACTAAAATATGCAGTCATATAGACAAAAGACAAACAAACCAAAAACAGGATATGGTGTCTCAAGATAAGAACACAAAGCATAGATGTACATGTAGAGCCTAGCAAATTGTTTTGTTCAGTAAATTTGCTTTAAAAATATACATTATAAACTTTTTTTTTTACTTTCCATCTTTCAATGCAGTTTTCAAAATTCAGGAATAGCTGCAACATGCTGTAAGCCTAATGCATTATAAATAAATAGTGAGCAGGACAGTTTTCAAAATAACTGTGAAAGATTTAAGCATGCAATCATTTTACTTTGTTTCAGAAACTAAGATTAGCTTAAAAATGTCTGCATCTTACCATCACAGTCACACATCCTGTGTTGAATTGGATGTAAAGCAGAACTACCTCAGGGGGAGACGGCAAACGATATGCACATGTCTCAGATAGGAGAGGCAGTATCTTCCCCTTCACTGCAAATAACAAGAAAATGCATCTAGCATTCAGTCATAAAATGACAAGTTCATAGAAAAACCCTAAATTCTGCTATTAATTATTTACTTTCATTTAGTTTTCCATCATGTTTACAGGTGTGATTAGTTTTTTTTTTTTTTTTTGGTGTACAAGTGTTTTTAGAATGTTTTGCTTTTTTTGTTCTGAAGGTGAACAAAGTTCTCAACCCCTTGAGGAAGAAAAATGAACACCTGTAAATATGACTTTGTTTGCCTTTAGCTTCTCTTCCACATCATGTCATCAGGGTGCTCATTTACTACAGCTGTACAATGCATTGCCATAAGAGTTTGCGGTGCAACACACAAGCACCTTATTGCCCATAGTTCACTGATCTAACAATGGAGATATGGGCAAACTATTTTTTTACAGGTTTTTTTTGGTGCACAAAATTGCTCATGAAAATTTGTATGATTACAATTGAAATCTGAATGTTTTGAAAATGTTTTTAATTTATTTTCCAGACTTCAAACATCTCCAGAACATTATGGGAGATCTTGAATTTCATTTAAAATAACTTAATTTGTGTTTGGAAGATGAAGCAAGGCCTCAGTGGATTAAAACAAGTAAAAGGAGACTAATTAAACTTTAATTTTAGGGTGAACTAATTCTGAGTTTGCGAGGACATTTTTTTTCATCATAGATGTGAGAATTGAATTGATCATATATTTATTGAAAGAAGGATAAAACTAATAACTTAATTAAACTTGAGTAATCTACACCAGTAAAAAACAGTAATCTAACACTGGAGGAGCATCAACAAACCAATGCATGCAACACACAGTACGTGCTGTATTCACACCATCTCATAATTATAACACATGACATTGTACTTGGAGTGGTTCATATGCTCAGACTCAGAATTGTGCATTTCTATGATTACTCTACCAATGCTAAACACGGAAGAAGAATCTGAAGCAAAAAAGTGGTAATGAAGTCATGTGTTACAAAATCACAGCTCTCAAAAAAAAGTCACAATGTGCCCCAAGTTGTAACGAGTTGTTTGACCATGTAAATGTTTTTTTTTTTAAATGCTTTTAAACTTGTACCTTTAACTCTGTGTTTCTCTGCAGCTTGCTGAGCACCTTTTATTGCAATGGCCATGCCGAATTCAGAGCAGAAGACAGAGGGAGTTGGATTTGAGGTCACAGGTGCCATTGGACAGGTTATTTTTATGGGACTGTCCCACCACAAGAGTGAAAGTACATAATTGTCATTCTAAAAATAACAGAAGAAAAAAAGAGAGAAAAGATTCAGTGATTAAAGGTGTAATCTGAGCAAACATTACTTACTCTAGGGTCACAGTGAAGATGCAACCACATAAATCCAGAAAACTCTTTTCCACCGATTTAAGCCCATTATTCAATCTCTATATTTCCTTATGTAAATGTGCACTGCAAACAAAATGCAGGGTTTGACAACTCATTCATCAATGCAAATCGAAGTTAACTTAAGTGGATTGCACATAAAACAATTAATTTGTCCCCCAAAAATTAAATACTGTGTTGTTTCAGTTCATTTTTAAGCAGTTTAAATAAGCAATACAAAAATGTGCACACAAATACATAATTTTTCAGCTTTTACAATAATTTGAGTTTTATTATTGACTAATATGCCAATGTTTAGGCATGTACAGTACAATTTGTCAAGTAATGTCATTAGTCTTTTAGTGAATGTATTATAAAGTATGAGATACCTGCAGCTTTGTTAAACAAGCAGGTTGTACTAATTGTATTTGCATCATAAACATTAAAAAAGTTAATTAAAATTAGAATTTACTTTTTATTTTATTTCTCTAGTTTTTTGCTCACTCGCTCTCAAAATCCTTCTGCATAAATCTGCAGAATTTTGCTTTTACAATTTTGCACCGGCCTTCTGTCTGGCCCCATTTATTACTGATTAAAAAGCAAGCAAACAGTTATGTCCGTAACAAGATAACAATCTCCTGTTCTCATTTCAGGCTGTACGCTTAATCCAATCTAAGAAATTAAGGGAAAGGATGATATATTTGGCACCTCTTTTGTGATGAAGCACCCATCATAAGGAGCCATTAGGACCAAATCTTTCCACGTGACCCTGACAGAAAAGCCACAATATGCAGGCACCTGAAATAAGGGCAGTGGGTCTGCATCCACTGTGAAAGCAGCACACAGATTATAAAACAGTAAAATACACCAACTTGCTCTCATTATGCAAAAAAAAAAGTATTATTCTTACCTCTGTCCACAGATATCCGTGTGTATTCTCTTCCAGCCATTGTTATGGTCATCACCTCTTCTGAGCAGCGTACCATGGGTAAAGCCAGCCGCATGTCTCTGATTTGGAAGCTGGACAAGCTTTTGGAAACATAAATTTTCCCAGCCGTTTCTCGTCCTCCAAAAGCTTCCCATAAAACAAAATAGTAATTATAGGATGAACGTCACAAAGTAACTCTCTCAAAGCCCTGACAAAACTTGCTTCCCAAGATATAGCAGTACATTCAGCATTCAACCCTTGATGGAGCTGCCAAATATCACTCGATGTGTCCAACAGTTAGCTAAGTAATGCAGTTTTTAAGTGCATAAAGTAAATCACTATAACGGTACTTTATCAATTGCAAGTAGTGTTTTCCTTTAAACGTGACAGAATAATGATCAATCTAGTTTTTCAGTGCTATAACAGTGACATTGCTACAGTGCTACTTCATTTACATGGACGTCAGTAATCAAATTATTTGCCTTAATCTGAATAAAACAATGATATAATTAAGATGTTTACATGAGTTGCTTTTTGAATGTTACATTTACTAGCAGTTTCCTACAGTGGTAGGGAACCTATGGCTCGGGAGCCACATGTGGCTCTTTGACCAAAAATATGTAGCTCTCCAGCTGTCCCCCTACAATAATATTTTAAAGTTTAAAAAATTATATAAGTCACATCAGTTTCCTGTTGAAAATACAATTAGTTACCTTTTTATTTAATTTTTTTTACAGCAAAATGGTTAAGAACGACAAAAAAATGTTTCAACCAATGCGCGTGTGAGGCATTGTGGATTAACTTGAATCGCAACACCAATAAAGGGCATGCAAGTTACATTTTTTTGGTAACCTCACACACATAAATTTAAACAACATGGCTTAGAAAGTTTTCTTTTTTATTGACGAGTAAGTTATTTTCATTGCATTTAAAGCAAAATACTTAAATATAAACAGGAGGTGGAGAAAAACGTTCATTTTAGTATAAAATTTCAGATTGCATTCAGAGGTTTTTGCAATTGAACAGACAGAAAGACAGGTCGCCTTGTGATTTCCAAAAATCTGTTTATTTTTATTAAACCATGAGAATTACCATATTTTATCCATAACCTACTGAAGACAAAAAAAAATTATATATATATATATATATATATATATATATATATATATATA